CCTTGGCTGCACATTAGAATCACCTGGGAATCTTTTTAAAATCCTGATTTCTGGGCCTCATCCTCCGGAAATTCTGTTTCTTTGTTATGGGGTGTGGGCACACCATTAGTAACAAAGAAACAGAATTTCCGGAGGATGAGGCCCAGAAATCAGGATTTTAAAAAGATTCCCAGGTGATTCTAATGTGCAGCCAAGGTTGAGAACCACTGGCCTAGGAGATGGGTGTTAACATTTCCCTTGTCCTACAGAGGTTTGGGACTTACACAAGTAGAGAAACCTTTTCAAAGTCGCCTAGCTAGTAAGTGACGGAATCAGAGCTAACCCGAAGTCCACGTGCTAACCGGTCTTGCCTTCACCAAGGCCAATACCAGAGCCAACAGGAGCATGGGGGGCACGGCTCACCTGCCCTGGCAGGCTATACACAAGGCCCAACCAACTGACAACATATAACAGGAATTTGGAGCATCTTCAGGGCCTTCCACACAGCAATTCCATTTCTGCGTGATCCATAAGGTTTCCATGGCGTTCAGACAGTGGGGTGAGGGTAGTAACACCAGGCATCCTCTGGATGGCTCCAGCCAGGCCTGGTGCTGAGTCATTCACATGTGGTGTCCTATTCAACCCTCCAAGATCCCTTGGGGCCCGCAGATAATGACATGGCCCCGTCTTATACATAAGAACTGAGGCTCCCAGAGGGTAAGTCACTCAAGCACGTGATCAAGAGGGTAATAGGAGAAACATGAATATTTGAGCACAAACCCCATGTCTACCTGCAGAAGAATGGTTATATCCGATTACATCAGAGCAAGATGATGGAATGCTATGCTGAACTAAAATTAAAACTTGTGAAGGGGTCTAATGAGACTCGAAAATCTCTCTGGAGTAATAATTAAGCCTAAAAAAATATATCCAACTGCGAGAGTGAGATTGTCACTACATCGGAAATGCCAAAAAACATAAAGGGAGGCTGGAGAGTGGGTTTGGAGACGGCTCCTAGGTGGGGCTGTATCAGCACCTATTCCTGACAGATTCTGCTGATTTCCTATTTGATGATGATAAGACATCATTTTAGTACCTGGGTACTTCCTTGCCTGTCTCTGCTCTGCTCTGCAGCCCCCAAGTTTTCAGAACCCTTGGGTAGGGGGGCCTTGACAGGCAGGGTCAGGGAAGTCAAGTGGTGGCTGGGCCTTGGCCATCATCCATAAAGACAAGCCAGGTGGCGTCTGCACTGGGGAGGCAGAGTTTGGGATGGCCCGAAGGCTACACTACTGCTCACAGGGATCCAGTCACTGTGCCTACAGTTTGCAGAGCACATAAGAGGGTCACACAGAATGCACCTGTGAGGCTCAGGCAGAAGACCCTGCCTGAGCATCAAGACAACCCTGGACTTGGCCTTCAAAGGTGCGCAAAGCTGGCAGAAATCCTGGAACTGGAGTTTGCATGTAAGCAAGTGGGAGAATTGGCAATCCCTGTGGATGCAGTTTATGATCCCACAGGGCTGGCTTGGACAACTCGCTGATTCCTTCATAAGCAGAATGACAAAGGGATCACAAGCTAGCACAAGCCATCAGAGACTCAAAAACTGGCTGAGACCAAGTTCCCATCAGTAGATGAGTGGATAAAAAAGCTGTGGTACATTTATACCATGGAATGCTATGCAGCAATAAAAAAGACTCTCTTACCCTTTGAGACAGCAAGGAGGGACCTGCAGAGTATCATGCTAAGTGAAATGTCAGTCACAGAAAGACAAGTATCACATGATCTCACTCATATGTGGAATCTAAGTAACAAAATAAACTGATGAATGGAGTGGATTCAGAGACATGGAAGCATGGAACAGAGTGCAGAATCTCAGAGGGAAGGTGGGGAAGGGAGTGTGGGTGGGAGGTAATCAACCAAAGACCTTGTATGCATATATGCATAACCCTCGTACACAGACGATAGGGTGGTTAAGGCCTGGGGTGGGAGTGAGTGGGAGGGGGTCAATGGAGGAAAAAAGGGGACATATGTCATACTTTCAACAATAAAGAATTATTTTTTTTTAAAAAACTGGTTGAGAAATGCACACCCAACAAATATGTAGATGCTGTAATGAGTGTTCTCTATTTTAAAAGTCCAAGTTTTTCTTAAGAAACGGCAATATTATGCTCGCTTCGAAAGCACATCTACTAATATTGGAACGACACAGAGAAGATGAGCACGGCCCCTGCACAAAAACGGCATGCGGATTTGTGAAGTGTTCCATGTTTGTGAAAATTAAAAAAGAAATGACACTATTTGGAAATGGTATTATGACTGAGATCCTCAGAAAACTACAACCCAAAGACAAGTTAAAATTACTTGTGCAAACAAAAGGAAGCACAAAGAAACTCTTGGTGTAGCTGACTTGCAGGTTTCCCCACTGCTCTGCCTGGTCTGAAAATCGCCATCCCCAGGTCCACCCGTGGGGAGAACAGTGCGGCTCTGAGAACAGCCCGCTCATCTGCCTGTAACTCACCTCCAAGAAGAAATCTGTGCAGCACACGGAAGCTCTCGGGATGAAGGAGAATTGCCTACTGAAAACGATTTCCTTTTGGTCATTCATTCTGAGGGTTGGTGGGTGTGTGGTCTGTGAGGACACGGGCCCCTACCCAAGCTCCAATTCCTCCTCCCACCCTGCGGGAATATGATGAAGGCCATCTGTAAGGGTGCTATGGGACCTTGGGAGCCTGGCCACCTTCTCGGTCACAGAAGCTGCCAAAAAGAAACTGTTTACGGATGTGAACCTGGATCGAATAGCTGGTGCTTTTATCTTACACAGCTTGTGCGTGTGTGTGTGTGTGTGTGTGAGCACGCCCACCCAGCATGCCCCGTTTGCTTTGTTTTCTGTACTCTATATAATCCTGTACTGTGAAAGCCTGTGTTGCAGTAATTTCACTGGCCTGCACGTAAGTCCTAATAAACTCATGTCTTTCACAGCCAGTCCTCCAGGTTATTTGTGGGGAATTGGCAAGCAATACACTGAGATTTCCTTGGACCTCGGCTCTTTGCATAGCAGCGGGGAAACAAAAACATATGTTTGTGTACACAAATCCATATGAGACCGTTTCTGACAAAAGGGTTAGACACACTTTCTGCACCAACAATGTGAGGATGAACCATGGGAGAGAGCCCTCTGGTTGGCGGCATGCTGATGACGTCTGCTCCTGGTGACAGGAGCGCAGGCTCACCTCCTGTCTCCCGCCAGACATCCGGTGGTACTCCGTCTGGTTGCACTTGGTGGAGAACTCGTCCTTCTTCACAATCTTGAGCATTCATGACAAAGGAGAGCGGGGAACAATACATCAGCTGTGGCATCTCCATCAGACAATGAACCCCTCCTCAGTGCTGCACCCCACTCATCTACAGAAGCCCAATATGCCTACAAATCGTGACCAGTCCAGGAAAGGGAGCTCAGGACTACCCTGAGCACGCACTTCCTTCTCAGAGGAGCGGTGCACCAGAGAGAGAGATGTTTGTGCTTTTCCAAGGAGATTCTTACAGCAGGAAAAAGGGGCTATCATTTCTTAGTGTTAGAGGTTTTGAAAATAGAACAGTGAGGAATTGTGGTTGGAAAGAACAAATGGTTTTAACTGAATGCAGAACCAGTAGAGGGTTCCAACTAGTGATTCTTTGGGGAGCATAAATACACAGAAGGGAAGGAGGTAGAGCCGTTTCCTCCCATTTCCCCTGATCTGTATGGACACAGGCTTATAGCTAGAAACACCACTGCAAACTCAGCTGGCACCAGAACTTGGAAGAGCAGGGGAGACCTCACCCCTCGACTGCGCATGGCTGCCATGTCTAAGGGAGCCCACGCATACGCTCACCTGAATGTGGCCGTTGTGGGGCCCTCTGTGGCCGTACATGCACTCCACCGTGGCTGACTTCCTCTCCATCAGGTGAATTCTAAACAAGGGCTTGAATCGCATTGGGTCATCCACATGAGGGTCATGGGGAGGCAGGTACATCCAGCCAATAATAAACAAGCCATCCACCTGTGGTGAGGAGAAAGGGTGCATGTCCACGTGAGGGTTACGGTGAGGCACTGAGGCAGAGGTTTCTCCCCCCACAGCTGTCCAGGATGACCATCCCACGTCTCCACACCCCAGTCCCATGGAGAACCTCGGGACCAAGAGACATCAGATGCACCTGATCTGTGGCAATGGGACAAGCACAGCCCCGCAACCAAGCACTTGTTAATTAGAAAGTAATTCTCTAATGTAAAAAAATGTGCTATAGTTGATAACACTGTATTGTATCACTGGAATTTGCAAGAGTAGAACTTAAACGTTAGGTAATGGATGTGTTAATTAACTAGATGATGGGAAACCTTTTACAATGTATACGTATATCAAATCACCATAACGTATGCTTTATAAATCTTGTAATTTATCAATTATACCTCGATAAGGCTGGAAAAAATTAATTTTTAAATAGAAAAAAAGCAGTTGGATCTGAATCCAAAAGAGCCTTTTAGAGAGAACTTCCAGATCTAAAATCAGGGGTAGAAATCGGGGGGGAGCTAAATGACATGAGAAAAAAGCAAGCGGAATAATCCAGAAAGTGTCACCCACTAGGGCCGTGGTCGGCAAACTGCGGCTCGTGGGCCACATGCGGCTCTTTGGCCCCTTGAGTGTGGCTCTTCCTAAGCCTTAGGAGTACCCTAATTAAGTTAATAACAATGTACCTACCTATATAGTTTAAGTTTAAAAAATGTGGCTCTCAAAAGAAATTTCAATCGTTGTACTGTTGATATTTGGCTCTGTTGACTAATGAGTTTGCCGACCACTGCACTAGGGCAACTGACCTGAGGAAAAAAAGGGAGTTCTGCTTTCAACAGGAGAGACTCATGAGGCAAAACACACTAATAGAATGCGAGGGCTTCGTTTAGGTCCCGATTTCAATGAACCAGCTGTCAAAGGCAGCTTTGAGATAATCGGGGAACCTTCCATATTGGCTGTGTCTCAAGTAATAGATATCAAGGGATTATTGCTACTTTTGTAAGGTGTGATGAGAATGTGGTGGATACGTAGGAAAATACCCACATTTAGAGATCCACACTGAAGTACGAACAGATGAAGCGGCACGGGCCTGGGATTTGCTTGAAAATGCCTGAAAACAAACCACCAAGGGGCAGAGACGGAGGCCACAAACGTGGCACCCGATAGGTAACTGCTGAATCCACGTGTGGGCATTGGTAATTCATGCTGCCATCCCCCCTATTCTTGTGTGTTTGAGACAGTGAGTGACAGAAAGTGACAGAGCTCAGATCAAAGGACGGCACAGTCCCCACACACGTGCTCAGCACAAAGGCACCCACGTTCTCAGTGAGGGGACAGGGATAGCCCCGTTTGGGATGGCCCAGCAGTCACTCCTGCTTCCCCAGAACAGCCTGGATCCACGGCGTCTAGCTCTATCGACAGAGGGGAGAAATTGATCACTTTCGTGCTAATTGGTCTGAGACAAGAGCCAGTGCTGTTGTTCAGTCACGGGTTCCATTTTCCCGTAATTATCCCCTGCTTTCAGAAGCCCTTCTTGTTTTTTTACTCTATTACTCACTGCCAGTATGAAAAACAATTATCACCGGCCTGACTAAAAGGAAAAAAAATATGCCCACGCTGGGAGCTGTCTGGCTTGTCTCTGAGAGAATGTTTTAAAAGCAACACTTTTCCCCAGGGATATGAAACATAACACATGTAAATGTGTTTCTTAATGAATGTTTCCACCAAATATGAAGAATATGAAGCAGTATTTATCCCTGTCCAAAACCCCACCTGGTGAGCAAAATATACAGAGAGACAGAGTAACTAGCATCACCAGGCTCTGAAGAGCTACACCGAGACTACCCAGGGCCCAGAGGCAGACCACTACCATTATATGATGTGCAGCCAGTCTCCTGGACTGGGCTTCTGGCACGTGCCAACAAGAGGGAACGCAGGAGCAAAACACCAGCACTCCCCAGGGGGCACCTGACTCTGTTTGACTTCAACATCAGCTACAGCAACACCTGGGCTCAGGGCTGTTCAAAAGGCACCATTCAGAGCACATGCAACCTTCACTGTGGGGAGACTGCTGTTCTGCATGAAACCAGCTAGGGCCACAAAATACAACCTGATGAGAAGCTCCTGTGATTACTCGAATGTCCATAGAGAACAGATGACTTGCCCCTCTGGGAGAAAAGGCACTACATTCCGTCCATGTGGGACAGCAGTCCTGACTTCACAAGAACCCACACTCGAGGCTCTCGGACTTACCACCACATTCAGCAGTCCTCCATAGGGCCCGATATCTGGCTGCCACAATCCCAAGATGTGTCTGTATCGGTGGAGCACTGCAGGAAGAGAGAAAGAGCAGGTCTTCACTTCAGAGGCAGCCAGTCTTCACTTTATAGTAAATCAGAGGAAAGGGCAGGAGGAGGAAGAGAAAATTATGAAGGCTTGTAACAGCACCTTGTAAACATGTGAAGTGAAGCAAATCTTACCTACAAAAGTTTCTAAAGAATTCTAAGAATAAAACTGTCTTTAAAAAGCATAATAAAACAGCCCGGCCAGTGTGGTTCAGTGGTTGAGCATTGACTTATGAACCAGGAGGTCATGGTTTCTGGTCAGGGCACATGTCCAGGATGCAGGCTCCATCCCTAGTAGGAGGCATGCAGGAGGCAGCTGATAGGTGATTCTCTCTCATCATTGATGTTTCTCTCTCTCTATTCCTCTTCCTTCCTCTCTCTGAAATCAATAAAACACACACACACACACACACACACACACACACACACACACATATTTAAAGGAGTGAGCTTTTAAAAAACAAGCATAATAAAACAGACAATTGGGTCATTTTGAAATCAGCCCCTTTGTGAGCAGCTCCAGGGGCAGAGAACTGCTGTCTTGTAAGACACAGACTGGGCGCCTTTCTGAAGTGATGAGCATCCCATCAGTTTACACAACTGAGGAAGCGCAGGATTCTTTAAAAGGTGGGGACAGAGTTCAACATGTCATGGGCCTGTGTATTAAGGATTAAGTTGGGTCATCTCACTTTTTAAAAAAAATGGCACCTCCCCACCTTATTTAAAAAGCAATGCATAGATACTGACTGAAGACAACTGAGAGAAGAAATCCAGTGCCAACCTGAAATCCACTACACAGAGATGACCAGCTGCAGTAAACATTTTGGAAAATGTCCTTCACTTCAATTTCCTTTGCACATGTACTTGTGGAGTGAATGAATGAATGAATGAATGGGCAACCCAACTTATACAAGTCCCCAACTGCCAGGTGAAGGGTCTGGGGCCTCTGTGCAGGCAGTGTGTGGTGATTAATTTCATGTGTCAACCTGACTGGGCCACATTATTCTGGATGTGTCTGTGCGGTTGTTTCTGGGTGAGATTAAATCGGTGGATGGAATAAAGCTGACTGCTCTCCCCAATGTAGTGGGCCTCATCCAATCAGGTGAAGGCCTGAATACAGAAAGCTGCCTCTCCCGCCAGTAAAAGGAAACCCCTCCTGCCTTGCTGCAAGAGCAGAGACATGCTTTTTCTAATTTCGAACTCCAAAATGGGCTCTTCCTGACTAGAGTAAGGGGCTAACCCTCCTGTGAATAAAAAGAATTTCCTCCTGCCTGACCGCCTTGAGCTGGATATTGGTTAAAAGTGACCTGTCCACCTCCTCACCATGTGGTGAGTGATATTCCCTGTGTCTGCTAGAGCAATCTGGAGACTGCCAGAATTCTAGGTCAGAACCTCAAAACTCAGAACCCTATGGTTACAGTTATTTTTAAGTTCAAAAATGCTCTTCGACAAGTCACCATCAATTTGCACACAAGAACGTGTTAAATATGTCATAAGGACAACACATCCCCCCATGATGCTTCCAACTTCTACAGACAGGAATTATCAAGAATATCAGGCAACGACATATGGCCCGATATTGAGAAAAATAAAAGTGACACAGCAAAAGCAGCTAATCTGAGGCCACAAAGCTCTAACAGAATTTGCAGCCTCAGGTGATGACTTGCTTCTCTCCAGAACAGCATCATGTACTCAAGACTGTGGATCCTCTCTGGTCCAATGGAACCAAGGCCCGGACAGTTTTAAGAGACTAGGAGAACTCAATAGGCCCAGGAACAGAGCAGGGTCCCAAGGACCTCACAAGCCAATCATCACAGCAGACTTCTCTGGAAAGCCTGGCTCACGGTAGAAAGAAATTCTGAGCTGCACTCCATTAGAACATGTAGAACATGCTAGGAGCAAGGAACACCAAACACCTGGGCACAGTAAAGCTTGAAATTGGGGTTGAAATGACCTTTCTTCTTTCACACGTTGTCATGGAGGTAACAGACCACGCACAGTTCAAATATGTCCACAGAGAAATGGAACTAATGCTTACAACTGGTTATTCTCATCATATTTCCTGGCTCTTTCAGGTTTTCTTTAATGACTGCTGTACTTTTATAAATCAAACCTTAGAGAAGACAGCAGTCTCCAGTTAGACCAGCCTCCTCTAAGCTGTCAGCCACCAGCAGCTGGCGGGCATCACTTTAGTGGCTACAGTCCAGAGGCTCTGGAAGTCCTCGCCCAGAAGGGTGGTGGCACCCTTACAAGCTACAGGAAACTTCTGACCACCCCTTGGGAACAAAAAGAACACCCCCACACAACTCCAGGCACTTCCTAGGTCTCGGCCACCAAGCCTCCCTCCCAGAGGTGGGTCAGAATTCCATTTTTGGTCTCAGATATAAGCTCCAGATAGATTGTTGTTCTAGGAGAATCCTGTGGCAAATGTATGACATAATGAGCCTCTAAGTGCTTGTCCATTTGTATTTAAAAGCCCAGTCCAGGCCATTCCCGTCAGCACAGCTGCAGCAACTGATGCATTGTTCTCATTAATAAGTGCTATGTGACTTTCTCTCCCCAGGCCTACAGAAGGCACCTTGGCTCACCCACTGATAAGCAGTGAGGGCAGGTCAGTCTAGGACAAAATGTTCTAGAGAGGCTACTTCTAAGAGGTTTGGAAAAGAACAGAATTCATACCTTCAGACTTGGCCCGCCCCACCCCTTTGCTATCCAGCCCCAGCCAAGCCCCCAGCTCCTCCTGACTATTCACACACTCCTGACTGCTCGACTGCTCACACACACTCCTGACTGCTCACACATATCCCTGTCTGCTCACACACACCCTGACTGCTCACACACACTCCTGACTGCTCACACACACCCTGGCTGCTCACACACACTCGACCGCTCACACACACTCCTGACTGCTTACACATATCCTTGTCTGCTCACACACACCCTGGCTGCTCACACACACCCTGGCTGCTCACACACACTCGACTGCTCACACATACTCCTGACTGCTCACACACCCCTGACTGCTCACACACACTCCTGACTGCTCACACACAACTGATTGCTCACACACACCCCTGACTGTTCACACACACTCCTCTGTGCTCACACATATTCTGGCTGCTTAGACACACTCGACTGTTGTATACAAACGTGAGTTCTCCTATAAAATAGATGTGTTCAGCACACACCAAACCAGTCACTTATACTCTTGAATTGCGTCTG